ACCTAGTTAAACAATAGGTCTGTCCCTCGTACTGAACTAACTAGTACTTCCACAGATGTCTTGAGACATGTATTTGCAAATATGCGGACCTTAGATCAACAATTTTTGATGCCATTGTCATTTGCCTCCACTTTCTCATTGTTTCTCCATAAATGTCAATTGTATCCCCACCAGAATGACACATAATGTATTTATTTAGTTCTCGGTAATCGAGAACTGGCCTGATCTTGTTTTTTTGTGGGTTGTTCCACCGCCATTAAGAATAGTACTCTCGTTTGAACATCCTGGTCCCATGGGGTTAAGATTCCTTCTTCAATCCACTGTTTAACTTCATTGTTGAACTCAACCTTCTTCTTCTTACTCAGTTTAGCATGATAGTGATTAATGTTGTTTTTTTAATATCGGGGATTCTGAAATCCATTTCCATTCCACGGTCTACTTCTCTCCTTCAAATTTTGCACTAAAGTCCTTATCTACCACTTCACATTGTTTTTTTTTTGCTATTCTTGCCATTTGGTTGTATATTCATAGCATAATCTCCTCCTTTGAACTCCACAACACCATTTTTATAGACAGTAACCCCTCCAAGCTGAAGGATAACATCCATGCCCACAATGATGTCAACATTGTCGATGATCTTTTCCATCACAATTGCCTCGATTCTCAGTAACTGTCCACATACCTCCAACATCACTGTGCTGGTTCCTCTGCACACAACCTCTCATCCATCCACTGCTCTTACAGTACTTGTACTCTTATAATCAGCCTAAAGACCAGACCGGATTAATGTTGCAGTGCAGCCAGTATCAACCAGGGCCCTTGCTCTCTTGCCTTCTATTAATGCTTCTATTGTTGGTAGTGTTCTAGTTTGCGCCATTGCTGATTTGAAGGGGTAACCACCAGTGCACCAGTTGCTTCCTTTTCTTTTTCCCTGTGGGCAGTGTTTTACATAATGCCCCAGCTTACCGCATCCATAGAAGGTCAGCTTGATTGGTTCCCTACAGTCTCTCAACAAGTGAGGACTCTTTCAGTTATAACATTTGCCAATAAATGGTTTGATCACTTTTGGTTTTCCATCACGCTGTTTAGGTTCTTGTTCTGCAAACTGTACCACTTCTGGTCTCCATGTGGCTGTAAGCACCCTGGCAGTTGAAATTATTTCACTGAGTTCCAGTTTCTCCACATTTAGCAACTGCTGTAGTGGCACCGAAATACTTTCTGGGAACCCATTGACAAATGTGAGCTTCATGATCTGCTCTTGTCCACTTCCTTCAAACCCTGCTACTTCCGCCAGTCTTTGTATTTTCGTTGCATACATATCAACATTTTTGCCAGTCCACCACATCCTCACTAGCTTTGCATATGCAGAAAAAACTCTATCCATAAAGGCTGTTTTTAACTTAGCCTCTATTTTCTTTGCATCCTGTCAATCCTCAGGGCATCTCCTTCTAAAAACAGGGACATAAAGCTTGTGAGGTTGTGGATTTTTTGCAGTCTCACTACCAATTTCACTTTTGCCAACCAGGCCATCAAATCACCTTCACCACTGAATGTTTTCACCATATCGACAGTTACTTTGTGATTCCCCTCCATATCATCATTGCGCTTATAACAGATATATGCTGAAATAGCTTATAGTTTAAATTCGAGAGACTGGCCTAAATTCCTTATTAGGCACTAATCCTGAGTGACAAAGTGTAGATGTTGTATTTGTCATATTGTCTGGTTGTTTGTAGACTGACTTCCTTTACTCGCCCCCGCCCTGTCTTTCGTAAACTGCATATTTATATTTTCTCAAATCTCATGGTCACCGTGATTTTGCATTAATTTGTCAGCATTAAAACAATATGGCTTCCCCACAAGATTCTTTTTAGGTACGGACATCCATGAGGTAAGTTTTTTTTTTTTCAAACTACATCAGCTACAACTATTCTCATAATATAGCCTTGGCATATTACAACTTCTCTGGCCTTTATAGTCAAATCCCAAACAGCTACTAGTTCACCATCTTCTTCACTCTTCAATAAAAAAAGGAAGCAAACATAGTTATATATCAATATATAATCGATACAGAGTAGAGAATATTATCATAATTAGTGTTGATATTAGAGTTAATTTTCCCCTTTGTACCTTTCATTATAAGAAGGCATCTAAATATAGCAAAATATGACCTCCAAAAACTATGCAATGTACTAAGATATAAAAAAAATATTGTTAGAAATAAAAACTAATCTCATAAATCATATTACAACCAATATCTGCCCAATTTTTGCTGGGCACTCATACTGGTAGCCTTGTATCAGATTAAGTTAAGTATCAATAAAGGCAAAATTTAGTTTCCAATTAAAATATTTGATTTCTCTCATTGTTTGTATTTTTCTTTCATCCCAAGAAAGGCAATAAATCCACTAAGACACAAAGGGTTACTGAGTATGAAAGAATCTCAGAAAAAGAAAAACATTATTAAGGAGTGAGAACAATAAAAAATCAGGAATTAAGAAGATAGAAGATAATGGACTGATATAACATTTAAATTTTTGAAGCTCAAACTTGACTGAGAAACCAGAAGAGAGTTCCACAAGTGTTAATTGCAAGAAAAGAAACTGTCAGCATAGAACTTACAGTTACATCTAGCCCCTTTCAAATGTAAAATGATGACATGTTGCCAATCTAGTACTGTGCTTTAAAATTAATTTATAATTTTAAACCTTTATTATCATTGTTATAATATAACAGAGCAGTACATCAATAAAATGAAATTATGGTACAAATGTACAAAGCACAAAATATATAAATAATGGTATCAAGTCTTATAAGGTGTAGGGATACAGAAGGTACTCTCCCTTTGATGGAGATAAGTCACATGGGTCACATGACAGCCGCTTAGTGATGTCACTCCATACAGTGATGAAAGCAGCAGTCAATTTCAGTTTGTTAATAGTAGCCAAACTGAACAGTTGCTTTCTTTACCCTCTTTACCCTTTTATTTACCCTTTCTTTACTCTCGTTTTTTTTTTATATCTTTCTTTGTTCTGTCCATGAATTATGTTGTTATTTTATCATGGATATAATAATGCCCATAATGGGGGAAATACAAATGGAAGACTTTCTACCATAGTCACCTCCTGTTATCAGGGTACACCAGGCACATAAATCATATTATTATTATTTAGAGAGCAGCACACCAACAAAGTGATGATAAACTACAAATATATAAACCCCTTTATAACCATTATGACACCTCATGTGATAAGAGTATATGAGGCACATGGATCACAGTCAAATATGTGCAAAATGGTAAAAAGTTTTGATAAAACAACATAACCTTGGAGGTGAGGTCCCAGTAGAAAGTAATTATTAAAATTCAGAGTTTTTTCTTAATGTCCTGCTTTGTCCACTTTCTGTTACCAGGGTCTTTTTTGTGCATTTCCTGACCTGACAGAGTGTCCCTTTTATTACTGGCATTATTGTGAACTTCATGCTTCACTTTTTTCCAATTTCTATTTCTAGATATTTGGAGGTTTTTTCTGTAATTTTCAGGGAGGTGTTACCTTCTTATCCTTCACTACTACATCAGATATGGTGGCTTTAATTTCTTTATCAATCGGAAAGTATACTGAACTGTTATGTAATATCAGTCCTGTATAGTAATGTTAAACAAATGAAGAAGAGGCAATAGAAATGTGGTTCTACAGAAGAATGCTGAGAATACCATGGACTAAACAAGGGAGAATGGAAACAAAAAGGACTCTTATACTTAGAATCAGAAAAAGATGTTGAAATTTCTAGGGCACATAATGAGGAAACAGGGCTTAGAAAATTTGACACTCACATGCCATATTGAATGGAAGAAGGGCAGAGGAAAACAGTGAATAGCATACCTAGCGAGCTTGTATAAATGGTTGGCAGAACAGGGATTAGGAAAAATAGCAAAAATTCAACCTTTACTAAGTGCTACAAAGAACAGGACATAGAAGAAGAAGATTGGCATGTCCAATAGGAGTAGATAAATTCACCCATCATCTAGTTCACACTTCTCCCCAGTCTTTTAAACAGGTTTAAAGTTTTATCCATTGTTTCCTGTTTAGAATTGGTTTTCCAGTTCTTTCTAAAGTCTACTTCAGCTCTATACTCTTAACTTGTCTATCCCTATGCTAATATAACTTCACACAGTAACCCTCTACCTTGAGTAGCTCTTGGACCCTGGAGAATATTAGTAAAAAAAATGTCCCAGAGAAAATTAGCTTCATTGTTTTCTACTAGAGTTGAAGGTAGCTGTTCATAGTAATTGTCTTTGACTTTGATGTTATCATGCTTACAGATTATTCAGTCCAGGTATATTATTACTTTGTTGAGCCTTTGCATGATTATTATCATGATAATAATAGGATTTTTTGTATCATGATTAACTGCATCATAATTAACAGTGTATGATTTGTTTGTAAAATATTATTGACACATTGTTCAGAAAATAATTTTTATTGACAGTGAAGATAATTTTAAATTTTATTGTTGTTGTTGCTGCTGCTATGCAACAAAGTGATGCTGGGATACTAATATAGGAAGCTCAATATACACATGGTGACAACCAGTCTCATAGTGCTATATCCAGCATATACATCATATTGATATTATGTGAGAGAGAAATACATCAAAAAAGTGATGCTGGGGTAACATTATATGAAACCCAATATACCCATCATGATACTCAGCCTTATAAGGGTATACTAGTGACATGCACCCCAGCCAAATTTGTGTGATAAAAGCCGCACATAATCTTGAGGTGGAGTGGAAGGAACAGCAGCAGCAGAAGAAGAAGGAGGTGGAAGTGGGAGGGAGGAGGAGGTGTTGGTAAAAATGATAAAGAGGAGAAAGGAAATAAAAGGAGAGCAGCACAAAGAAAAAGGAGGAGGGGAGGAGGAGATGTTAGCAAAAATGATAAAGAGGAGAAAGGAAATAAAAGGAGAGCAGTTCAAAAAAAAATGGAGGAGGAGGAGGTGTTAGCAAAAATGATAAAGAGGAGAAAGGAAATAATAGGAGAGCAGTTCAAAAAAAAAGTAAATGAAGAAGAAGAAGGAGGGGGAGGAGGTGTTTGCAAAAATGATAAAGAAAAAAAGGAGAACATCACAAAGAAAAAGAAGGAGGATGAGGAGGGCAAGAGAAGGTGTTGGTAAAATGATAAAGTGGAGGAAGGAAATAAAAGGAGGACAACAAAGAAAAAGAAGTAGGAGGAGGAGGGCAAGAGGAAAAGTTAGTAAAAATGATAAAAAGGAGTAAGGAAATAATAGAAGAGCAGCACAAAGAAAAAGGAGGAGGAGGAGGAGGTGAAAGTCTTAGAAAAAATTATGAAGAGAAGAAAGGAAATAAAAGGAGAGCAGCACAAAGAGGAGGAAGAGGTGAGCAAAAAGAGGTGCTAGCAAAAATGATAAAGAGGGGAAAGGAAATAATAGGAAAGCAGCATGAAGAAGAAGAAGAAAAATAAATAATAATGTGTGATGGCATACTCTGCATTTCATTCACTGCACAACTGTGATGACATCCAAGGTCAGCAGTGTCTGAATATAAACCTGACTCGCTATGTTCACAACTTTGTATTCTTGGCCATGATTGAATTCAACAAAGAATAACGACAAATGATTTTCAAGACACTGGTTAGGAAATAACAACAATACAATTTCTCACTTAACCATGGTATTCTTCCTTCAGCTTTGAAAAGTCGACAACTATCTCCCTAACTTCCGGCCATGGTAAGAGGACCCTTACATTTACTGCTGGTCTGTCACTTACCCACTGCTGCTGACTTTCTGTCTCTCTCTGCTTATAAGGATACTGGCTGGGTGGCCAGTTTTTTCAAAGTTTTTTTAATGATTATCTAAAATCATTAACAAAATTTTATGTTTGCCAATTCAAAGCAGGACTGGAGACAGGAATCCTAGAAACTCTGGTAATTAAGTTGACTTAAAAGAAAAAGGAATTTATCTACTTATCTCCTAATGAATGTGTGAGAAATCGTATTGTTACATAATGTAATTATTCTTAATAATATTACCATCATCACGACAATGATATTATTTCTGATTAAAACAGTGCATGATTTGTTAGTGAAACATTCCTGACACATTGTTCAGAAAATAATGTTTATTGATAATAAAGAAGAACACAAGAGATTTCAAGCATTGGTAAATCTACAAATGTCATGTCTGTTTATTTTTTCTGCCTCATTAAATTTTTTCAGAGATTAACAAAGAAAGACAAATAAAATTGTAAATGAAAGAGGTGTGTGCATGCTAAAGTTGACACAAAGCTAATAAACTTTTATTTGGCAGCCATATTTTCCTGATAACTTCAAAAAGAAAATTTCATGATATAATCAGCTCTTTAAATGAAAATAAAATAATCCAGAGAAGAAAAATAACTGAAGAAAGAAAAAGTGTTTGTTACATTCACTTTCACACAAAGACCTTTATGAAAAGCTTGAATCCATCTCTTGTCTCTCTAGCTATGGGTTAAATAACAGGGCACAAAACTTTTTACCTACAAAATTTCTTTTGAGTTTTGACTGCAACCTGGATTGATTGTTTTTAAGGCTCATCAACCTTTTGCAGGTTATTTAAAGACAGAAAATATTTTTAGATTGTAAAAATGTTTTTGAGATAATAATGATTTACTGATACAAGTCCTACTAATTAACCCATATATAGGGGGAGAATAGATGGATTTATACCTTCCCCAAGAGTATTTGCATGTAAGAGTATATAACGAACAATGACTGAAATTGGAACTCAGCTCTGGTATTCCAAAGCAGTCAATGTTGCTTAACTTTGGTAATCATATAAGAAATGGGACTGCAACCTGGAAAAATATTCTACAAGAGAAAATAATCCATCTGATAATTTTGATGCTTCTAAAATCTGTTAATGTCACATCCAGTCAATATTAATTTTTTTCTCTGGTGCTTCAACTACATGAATTTAAGCATGCAACTAGATTGGCAACTAGGTTTCACCATTTTACTGTTGAACTAGCTGAATGTAACTGCCAATTCTAGTCTAACAGTTTTTTCTTGCTTCCCTGACACCTACAATCTTCAAAAATTTAAATCTATTTTCAATCCTTTCCACTAAAGTTTTCTTAGTCTGTTTCAGTCCCTGTAACTCCCTGTGTCTTAGTGGCATTATTGCCTTGCTTGGAGGTGAAATGTTTAAAAATTAAATAAATAAAAATAAATAATGTTAAATATGGATTAAATCACAGGGTAAACTGAGCTCTCCCCTTGGTTGGCAAAGGAAAGACAACTCTGATTTCAAAACAACCATCTTGAGACACTGAGTATGTAGCTTTTGTGATGTGCATGCTATATAGCTATTGAAAAGATTATTGAGTTCACAAGTAACTCCAGGATGGAATTATGGACTCTATAATCCCAACTGAGGTTGAATAAAAAAATATATTTCATTCCAATGCCAAAGGTTAATTTTCAAACCTAAATAAGAGTTGAGATTTTAAATGTATGTTTTTAAAAGTGATTAATTGTTTGAGGAATATATTTGACATTTTTTCAAAGAGAAGTGATATTCTTCAAAAAGAGAAATGAAATATTACAGCAATTGGATTATTAATATTATAATATTAATATCATAGTAGATTGTTCTAGTGCCATGTGCTATGCCTTTCCTGGATATCTCAATTTTAGTTCTTTCCCTTTAGTAGCAATCTACATGAGTAGATGAAATAAAGGGTTCGGTTTGAAATGCCAACGTATATCACTGAACAAGGCTGGAGTGTAAAACAGCCAAAATATTGTGTATATGACAATAAAGATGAGGAAAACAGTTCAAACAATGTAAATAGTATAAATAGTTACAATACCTCATCTCAGAAATATAGACAGATTCTGAGATAGTTGTTTATTAGTGGAGGCAAGTGGTTACTGCCAAAAGCCAAAATTTCAAATGTTTAATTTCTATTTACACTATTTATATTTGGACTATTGTTCTCATCTTTGTTGTTGTTAATATAACGTTTCAGCCATTGTGTCCTCTGGCTTTCTTCAGGTGTATATCAGGTTGAAACATTGTAATGACAATAGAAAAGATAAGGAAAATAATCTGAATATAAATAGTGTAAATAATGATTTTTCATCTAAGAAATTCAGACAGAAGTTTATTTTCTAGCCAAGCAATGCTCTTTCTCTTGGGAATTTGGGGCAATATAAACTTAATATCTTGCATTTTGTTTTAGATTAAACATTTTAAGTTTCTTCTTGTTCTACTATTCTTCTTTTAAGAGCCATGTCTCTTCAAGACTTGGGCAATTATGGCTCCCCACAGCTTCCTATCCTATGTACCTTGAAGCAATGTTTGTCTCCTTACTATCCTTCTCATTCTTCATTCTGCACTCCAATTACACAAACTCATTAGGTAGATTGCTCAATGTTTCCCTCCATCCCTCTTGTCTTCTTACAGGAATCCATTGTTTCAAGGCTGTATTTGTGATCAACAATGACAACTCCATCTATATTTTGTATTTGTTATTGTAACTATTTACACTGTTTACTTTGTTCGAACTGTTGTCCTCATCTTTATTGTCATATTCACCTTCAATATCTGTCTATATTTCCGAGATAAGATATTGTAATTATTTACACTATTTACATTGTTTGGACTGTTGTCCTCATCTTTATTGTCATATCCATACCAAGGCATGGCAGGTAGAACTAGAACAATCTACCCCCATGGACTAAATAAAGGGTTCGGTTTGAAATTCCAGTGTATATCACCTGAAGAAGGCTGGAGCATACAATGGAAAAAACGTTGTGGATATGACAATAAACATGGGAACAATGTAAATAGTGTAAATAATGACAACTCTGTGAGATAAACATTTATCAATTGAAAATAATTTTTATCACTTTAAATGTTATTTTAGTGGATACTTATATTTGAGTAGGCACTTTGTTTATTTATTAAAAAGTATATTTGTTTATTTTTGTCTACCAGCTTCAATGTTTGAGAAATCCTATTAAAGAAAAATTTGTGCTCTCCAGCAGGAATTGAACCTGCATCATTCAGTGCAGAGGGAGCTGGTATGGCCACAGAGAACAGTTGGTCAGGTGAGGCCAAATTTCATGCTTTCAAGCAAAAAAGTTTTTTTATATCTACACAGGAAAATAATCTGAATATAAATAGAACATAAACAAAGAGAATTTTAGAATGGATTTTTTATTAATCCAACAGATTTTTATTACTTTAAACATTATATTTAGAGGACACTCATATTTGAGTAGGTGCTCCATTTACTTAATGTTATAGTGGAACACACCTATTCTATAGTTAATAGACTCTCCCACCTATAATAAGTAGGAGTAGTAAGAGTAACAGAGTTGCTTGAGTCGGTCAGTGAGTCAGTCGATGTCAGACGACAGTTAGTCGAATACTAAAGTATCAGTGACCACAGCTAGATTACTCCACGTTATACCTATTATATCAAGTTCCTAATATTTTGTACGTCGAACCTATTTTAGGGCCGACTTAGTACAAGCCTCCACTGTGAAATCACTCCACAACACTTAATAAACAGTATATTTATTTATTTTCACCTACTGGCCTGAATGTTCAAGAAATCTTATTTCAGAAAAATTTGCATTTTCCAGCAGGAATCAAACCTGTGTCCCTCAGGGTGATATTAGCAATAATGTTGCAGTTTACAATACGATAATTGTGTACAATTGTTATAGTCAGTGAATTAATAGTTATAATCTGTCATCATGTTAGTGTCAAATTCTCCAATCCTTTTGTTATGTATCCCATATATTTCAACAATCATCTTCTGATTTTAAGTATAAATGTCTTTTTCATTCCCATTTTCCTTAAACCTCCTCATTGCTTCTTTCTGTAGGACCACATTTTTGTTGCTTCAAGTTTCCTTTTCATCTGTAAGAAAATTGTCCAGCATTTACTGCTACATAGGAGAATTGATATGACATAGCAGATCAGCACTCTTTTGTTTCTAATGACATTTTTCTGTTTCTTAATACTTTGTTTAGTTTCTGGAAGGCATCTTTCACTGTTCCAATGTGCTTTCAAGTATCAGTATCACATTTCCATCATCTGGTATAACTTCTCTGATAATTAAATTTCTGTACTTACTTGATTCTGACGTCTCCAATTTGTAGCTTGCATCTTGGATTATTCCCTTGCTAAGAACTATATATTCTGTTATTGATGCTTAGTCCTTTCTTCTCACTTTCCTTTACTACTTTGTCTAGGAATTCCTGCAGTTTTCTGTCTGTACCTTTCATCAACACAGTATCATCTGCATATCTCAAATTGTTAAGGTTGTCTCTGAAAAATAAATTAAATAATTGTCTCATTCCTTTTAAAATCATGGCACAGATTTATTTAGATTTTTATTCCAAGGTAGTGAAAATTTATTAGCCTGATCAAGAAAGGATTCCAGAATAAATTCTGACCAAATGGAAAACCATTTATTTTTTTCAGTACCACTTTGCT